CTCTCTCTCTCTCTCTCTCTCTCTCTCTCTCTCTCTCTCTCTCTCTCTCTCTCTCTCTCTCTCTCTCTCTCCGATTAAGAAAAGAGGGGAGGGAAGCTGGATGGTGGATGGTCCAGAGGGAGAAGTGACGGGAGAATGCAGAGGGAGACGAAGCAGAGGGGACCGGCAGGCAGAGGCGAGGTGGCCCCCGAGCGGAAAAGAGGTGGGTGGAGGCGGAGAAGAGAAGGTGGGCGGTGGCGAAGGGGAGGTGGGCAGTGGTGGAGGGGAGGTGGTGGGAGGAGGAGGAGGGAAGGTGGGCGGAGGCAGAGGGGAGGTGGGGCGAGGTGGAGACGAGGTGGGCGCCGGGCAGAGAAGAGGTGGGCGGAGGCGGAGAGGAGATGGTGGGCGGTGGCAGAGGGGAGATGGCTGGAGGAGGCGGAAGGCAGGTGGGCCGGGGGGAGGGCCGTTGAACTCGAGCACGGAGAGGGTGCTGACCTGCAACGCGCCAATGCCCAACAGATGCCAGGCGTGAGGCCCGGCGTTTCTTTCACTACTGGCCCGTACAGGCCCTTCTTTCTGACGGGTGCGACGATCCTGGCCGTCCGCGGTCCTAGAGGCCCGACGGTTCAGATCGTCACCTGACCTTGAGAATTAAAGATCGCGCGATGATCCACACTGCGCGACAGGGCGGACGACGGCCTGGATCATCGCACGACCTTAAAGTCTTTAAGATTGTGGGACGATCCAAGCCATCGGCCCAGTAGGATCGCGGGTGGCCTGGATCGTCGCACGATCTTAAAGTCTTAAGATCGCGAGGAATCCAGACCGTCTGGCCAATAGGACCGCGGGCGGTCCGGATTGCCCAATTCTCAGAGAAGAGCCTGGTGTAACATAGGCAAGGGAGAAAAGGATGAGAAACAGGAGGCTGCGACAGACTGTTTTGAGGGAGTTTCACTGACTCATCAGGAGGCTAAACCCTCCATATTTACACAGCCCCCCATTTCTTGTCCTTTTCTCTGTTTCTGCCTATGGTTCACCGGGCAGTCTGTAATCGTCGGATAGGCAAAACAAGTTTGAAAAAAAAAAACACCATCAACGGACCACCCACCACCTCCTAAATGACATGACAAGGTGGACGGCGGCATGCGCAGCCCTTTCCTTTCTTTGTCCCTTTTTTTTCTCTTTCACATGTTATGGTCCAGCCCCATTCATAATGCAAAACTCAACTTTGAGGCAGTGCAAGCTTACTCACTCAAGCCAAAAAAAAAGAAAGAAATAGAATGAAGATTCGGATTGAAGAAGGGAAAAAAGGTACCAACTTGGATAAAACCGTTGGATAAGATGAGAGCGGAGTGTGCGACTATTGCCTGTGTGGCGGATGCCTTGTGTGGTGTTGTGTGTGTGTGTGTGTGAGTTGAAGGACACTACAGCCATGCAGGGGTGGGGTGGATATTACGACCGGCATGGATCCACTTTGTACACCGTGCCATGGCTGTAGTGGTTAAGAGACTCGGCTCTTGAGGCTGAGGGCGCCGGTTCGAATCCGTGCGTGCACGGAGGAGGTCCTGTGGCTGATAAAGTGCAGACAGACTAGCTCAGATGGTACCCCACGGAACTGTTCAAATACAGGCCCGAGTTCGAACTCCATTGGAAGCAGATCAGTGAATATGATATCTCAAGACCGTCGCCTTTTTTTTGACTTTTTTTGTTCAAACAAGAGGAAAAGGACAAAAAGTGGAAAGGATTGTGGGAGGAAAGAAGAGAAGAGGACATACACACGTTTGAACCAATCTCATCGCCGTCACTTCTGGCCGTCGCCTACTTCATCTTCTGACCTCATCTCCTCCTCCTCTTATAAACAACGAATTAGTAAAAATTAGTAAATTACAAGAACAAATGAATGAATGAACAAGAATCAATGTCCGATTATTAACCCCCTTCCTGCCAGTGTTCAAAAAGTCTCTACTTGTCAGCCTCGCTCTCACTCCTCCCCTCTCGGTTCCAATGTGGCTATGGTGGTACACCGATGTGTACCACGGATGTTCAAAGGACATCGCAACTACTGTGCCTCTCCCATCTCATACCGCCATAGCCACAGTCGCATGCAAGAAGTCCAAGACCAACCAGAGGTCTTCTAGATGCATTGCGAATCAAGGAAGTCGAGATGAAGGTTCACCATAGCCAAAGGTAAGTCTCGCATGCCGGTTCCCTCCTCCTTCCTCTCCCACAACCTCTACTCTTTTCCCTGACTTTCCTCCATAGCCTAGCCTTACACCTTTCTTCTTCTACTATGCCATAGCCATGGAGGTCTCCCTCCTCACCATCCAGCTCCAACGCTTCAACCCAGTGCACCGCCTTACTCACGCTCAGGGTGGAGCAGCAGCACGACTGCCAGTGGAATGTGCCAGCTTGAAAAAAAAAAAAAAAAAAAAAAAAAAAAGAAAGAAAGAAAGAAAGTGCCAGCTTGTTAAATTCCACTGACTGATGTAGGACCTCGCTTCACTACACGACACTCGACTGCATGAGGACTATGGCGATGTCCAGATGCATTTAGAGTGATGTGTAGCGGAGCAAGGCCCTAAGGACTCCCGGCCTCCAGTCCTTTCACAACTGTCCAATTCAGCCTCTACCAGTGCATGAGGCTGACCACACATGGGAACATCACAATTGCCATGTGAAACCCCCTTTCAAGGGCCTGAACCTGACCTAATATCTACCTACATTCGGGATCTGGACTGTCATGACCTCTTCGGAAGCTAACGCCCTTCTAAGTCTACAAGAATTTTCTAGGGCTGCCCAAGTTGCTGGAAAATCCTACTGCGTACCTCGCAATTTCTGCTTGTGTCCTTGTCCCTCCTATATTCTTCTCTAAGTCCATCCAGCGTCCAATTTCAGCCCTACCCCTGTCGCTATACCTGTTTACTGTTCTACCCCTCCTGGGACACAAAAACATAACACTAGAACGGAGTTAAGCTTGGTCAGAACAGGCAACACAGCAAAACAGACTCAAACAAGAAACAGAGTTAAGCTTGGTCCGAACAGGTCGCACAGCGAAACAGACTGTAACTCGGAACAGAGTTAAGCTTGATCAGAACAGGTGACACAACCAAACAGACTCAAACTCAGGAGTCAGAACAGAGTTAAGCTTGGTCAGAGCAGGTAACACATAAAAACAGACTCAAACAAGAAACGGAGTTAAGCTTGGTCAGAGCAGGTGACACAGCTAAACAGACTCAAACTCAGAACAGAGTTAAGCATGGTCAGAACAGGTAACACAGCAAAACAGACTCAAACTCAGAAATCACAGCAAATCAGGCAAACAGACAAACACACGAGCTTAACTCAGAGTTAAGCTTGGTCAGAACAGGGAACACACCAAATCAGGCAAACAGACAAACACACGAGCTTAACTCAGAGTTAAGCTCGGTCAGAACAGGGAACACAGCAAATCAGGCAAACAGACAAGCACACGCAGACACCAAAAACACCGCAAAACAGAATTGAACGTTAAAAAGTTAAACTCGGAAACCTCAGCATACAGATCAACGGCAGAAACTTTCGCAGGCAGGAACTTTCGCAGGAACTTTTGAAGGTTCGCGGAAACTTTCACAAGAACTTTCGCAGGAAACCGCAGAAACCTCAGACTGAAACGGTGCGGGTCATTTCACAGAGCTCTGTTCAGGAGGTTGCTGTTGAAACAGCAGTAAGTTCTGTAACCATTCCTTGCCTTAGAACTCAGAAGAAGAGAAAAAAAAAAACACTGAAGTCCTGGCTCCTGTCCACCCCACATTCTGGCAACTAGGGGGTTCTTCCACACAGGTATACACATTATCCAAAGTCCCAAAAATACCGAGAAGCGAGAACAAACCGCTGCACTTGAGCATAATCCAAAACATCAACAAGCATTACCATCCCGCTCATGCTGACAATCCCCAACGCAATCCGCTCGGTGTCAGCTTCTTTTAGAAGAGAAAAACAGTGAAGTCCTGGCCTCCTGCCCCCACCCCAAATTCTGTCAATAATGGTGGGTTCTTCCACAGGCACAGGGCTGAGCTCTTCAGGAAGCACAGAGGTGGACAAATCCACAGGCAACCCCCAAATTCACGAGAGAGAGAGAGAGAGAGAGAGAGAGAGAGAGAGAGAGAGAGAGAGAGAGAGAGAGNGAGAGAGAGAGAGAGAGAGAGAGAGAGAGATGGAGGATATCAACGGGCAGGCACGCCCCTGCGCCCCATCTGAAAGATTTCAGGGATGGGTGTTAGTACACGACCATCCTCGCTCATATAGAAGTAGTTGAAGTTTATTCTAGTGACCAGATCAGCAAAATGGCCATACTGTCCGACATTCACCTTGCTTGTCAAGACCCTGAGGAGAAACAGAATGCACTCATGGAATTGGCGTTCGATAGCGTCCATCTCGTCCTTGCAATGAAACTGCGCAGCCGATTCTTCCGTGGTGCTTTTCCCCTCAAGCAGGCCCCGCTGAAGACAATAGAACTCCAAGGCTAAGCCCAAAATTTTATTGATTCTGGTAGATATCACGTTGGCCAATTTGTCGGACCCAACAAGGCATTGCCTCTGGATCGATTCCAAGTACTCTTCATGAAAAGCGATCACCTCATCGAGCGAGTGTGCATGGGGCATCTTATCGCAGAGCTCCACCCACGCGCCGTGCAGCACCCTGTCCATGACATATTGATGCAGAGTGTTGACGAAATGCATTAGCTTTTGTTGAATAAGCAGTCTCTTGATATGAACAGCATCTGCTCCTGCCCCTCCTACCCCGCCTACCTTCCAGGCCCATCGACAAGCCTTGTCAAGTGCATGCTTCGCCCTCTTGACCTTCAGCAGGAAGGACATCACCTCGTTATACTTTGCGATCGCGGCCTCGTTAACGATGAATTCAAGCGGCCAAGCAACCTTGTATTGAAACCTCAGCGAGCTCAAGGAGTTGATGCTGACAGGGATTCTATATCCACCAGCTCGCGCTGTGGTCCCCTGATGACCATGATGGTGGTGTTGATTCGATCCCTCCCCTTTCTTCTCTTCAATAACCGCAACCAATGTGTCCAACGCAGGTATCAGGGCAACATCCGCCGACGACCGAATCGACTCCTGAAGGCTCATGTTAAGGTCATAGAAGTCTGGCCAGGATTTGCCCTTATCCAGTCTATTGAAGAGCTTAGATGTGAACTGATGGAGGACGTCTCCCGATCCCATCAAATAGATGGCGCGTAAGGTGGCCAGCTCTTCCAGGAGCCTCCATTCGCCCATTAGATGTTGCAGAAGCTGGCGGCCGACATAGGTAACCTGTCGCTTAACGTGCGAAAGCAAACAAGTTTGAATGACGACTGCTGGAGGAGGAGCACCATGCAGCGGAACGGTCTGCAACCAATCCAGAACGGAGCTCGCGAGAACACACGCCTTTTGGTTGAAAATCTGCCCCCGATCAACTGCCTGAAAGGGAGGGAGGTGGGTGGGGTGCTCAAGTACATCTTTGAGCTGAGAGAAATTGTGATGCACTCGCTCCATAACAATGCTTGCCCCTCCACATCCACGTTCAAAGTCCATGCTGTGGCAACTGTCATAGTTCTGTTGCTTTTCACTGTTCTCCTTGTCTCCCTCCTCTCCAAAAATCATCATTCTCAGCTCCCGATCGTCGATGGCAGGAAGTTTCTCTGCTTCCCGCACTTCTTCCGAAGGCCGGGACTTGCTCTTTCTCCCAGATACTCTGCTCTCGGTCACTCCACCCCGTAGTTTTGACCCCTCGTGTGCATTTGCTTGCAGTTGAGCGTCGCTGTGCATTGCTTGCCCATCTATTAAGTTGTTGGTGCTATTTTTAAACAGCTCTAGGACGGGGTGCACGTTCCCACCTTCTCCTGACAAACCTTGTCCCTTCATCTCAGCTTCTTGGCTAGCTTCGATTAGCGAAGCCGTCCAGCTTTTTGCAGTCTTTGCTGTTGTTGTTGTTGTTGTTGTTGTTGTTGTTGTTGTGAAGTGCTCTCCTGAAAAAAAGCAAGCATCCTTGTAGAAACCAGAGTCTTCATCAGCTAGCCTTCCCTCCTGTGCATCCCCCTCCATGATGGCGAGTTGCTCTTCTGGAAGCCTGCAATATGATGAAACAGGCTTCTGCTTGTCTGGCCGGACCATGTTCTTTTTCTTGTCAGAAACGCCATTTGTATCAGTGGTTTGTCTTTCAGACTCTTCTCCTGAAGCATGTGTGGATTCATTCATCGCGACATGGATGAAGTCAATCAACGATCTGCAGAACTTCTCATAGAGTGGGGGATCGTGGGAATCAGAACTGTCAAGTACTTTCGCATCCTCGAAGTTGCCCGCATTCCTTCCTTTCACACCTTTTCCGTCTGATGAGATGTCATCACCCTCTGTTCTTCTTGCACACCTGAACCCCTTCTTCTCCCCTTCGCCATCCAGCCTCAGCGGCGAGAGAGGATATGAAGAGCTGCCACGTGCTCCTGGCGCAGCACTTGACGAAACTCCAACTCCAGCTACAGGAGCGAGTGTCGAAGACGACCACCACCGCCCCCCTCCTCCGACTTGCCTTATCCCCTTTCGTGGAGATGACGATACTGGTAGCTCAGTAGGAGACAATACATTATTAGACAACAAGGACTTGCTTTGCAATGCTGCTAGGGAGCCTGACGGCGTGGAATGTCTTCCGTCATCCCCTCGGGAGTGCTGCAGCTTGGCATGCTTGACGTAGTGTAAGAGTTGCAGGGATTTGCCAGTGGAAAGGATAGCATTTGCAGTTTGCCTCAAGAACGACGGACAACTTATCTCCCCACCAACACCACCAACACCACCACCACTATGTCGTGCCAATCCCCCCGATCCCAATCCCGATCCCGATCCCACGCTGGAGGGTTTTCCTGACTGCGACTGACTGAAAGATCTTCTTGATGTATGGGTATGCATGGAGCTGCTGCCCATTTTCTCAGCTGCTACTGTTGGGTGTGCCGCCGCCACAGGTTGCGATCGCTGATTACTATTCCCACGCCCAAGAGTCACCATAATCTGACCATCATTTAAGTTGTGGCCCTGATCAGCACTTGTCACCTGAGCCGCACAACCTGATGACGTGAACAAAGGTGCCATCCACATTCCGCCGCCTGAGTTCGAATCGCAATCCGAAAAAGCAAGGGTGGTTACGGATGTTGGTGTTGTCGCCAATTTGGAGGGTGCTGGGACTGGGACTGGGACTGGGACTCGTGGTGGAATCTGCGTTCCTAATCCTCTTGCACCATGGGTCGTAGCTAGGGATTTGGAGTGTCTCAAGCTGTAAGGTGGGGATGAAGATGATGAAGGCCCCCCTGAGGCAGTAGATGGCAACAATTGGGGACCCCTCAAAAGGAGGCCATGGAGCCAGAATGCGGAATCCTCGACCCGGATTGCACTGTTTGCAGCGATGAAGAACTCTCCAGCAGGGTCCGTGAGGGCTCCTTCTCGCAGCCACACATCCAGGGCATCCAACATAGGTCTGATGGACCCCACAAACAGGGTAAGGACTGCCCTGAACGCCATCTCCTCCCCATCAGGAAGGAGGCTGACGCGTTCCATTTCGTCATACAGCGAAGTGAGGATGTGAGACGCCTCTGCAGCATTTATGCCCCCCATGTCTTCCTGCCTCTGCTGCGGCGAAGGTAGCAGGCCTGCTGTGTCCTCCTTCAACCACCTGGGTGGTGCAGCTGCACTTACCACCCTGTCCAAGATCGCCGCCCTCGCGCATACCCATGATAACGAGTTAGACAGAGACAGAAGCGTCACTGTTATTCCTGCCCCCCCCCTGGCTGCCCTCATCTCCAATTCTGAAACCACACCTCGCAATGCCTGTACCTGCCCTTGCACAGTGTTTGCAAATGCCTCTAGGGTGGGACCACAGGCTGACGGCTCAGAAGCAAGGTTGTGAACAGTAGAGTTCCCTACTCTTTTCAAGAACATGTCGACTCGTCTAAGATTGCCAGCCGCCTCCTTGAATCCTGCCAACAGGTGGTGCAAGCTGGAGGGGGAAAGATGGGAAACATGCAGCCCAGTCTTTGAGTAAAATTGGTACCTTTGGTGGTCCCATAAGAATACATCCCCTGGCAAGCCTTGCATCATGTGTAGCACATGGCGCACAAGGGCTGCTTCCGTCGTCCTTAAGGAAGAATGAGGGACTGCAAATGGCAGTCCCTCTGTCCTTTGCGCAATGATCATGGAGTACAAGGTACCATCCTCCAATTCATCATCATCATCATCATCATCATCATCATCATCATCATCATCATCTCCGCCGCTGCAGTAGTAATAGTCCAATTCAGAACAAGTCTGCTCGTCATCTACGGCCTCATCAAAGAACCAGCAATTGCTGTCGAAGAAAGAGTCATTAAGATTTTTCCAATCAAAGGCCTGCAGCTGTGTGGAAACAACAACTGTTGTACCGCTGTGCTTCTGCATGTCTAACCTGTTTCCACAATCCTTGGTGGTGGAAGTAAGCAGGCCTTCTTCCTCAACGTTGGTGTTGTCCATCTCAGCAGCGCCGGAATCACTGTCCGTGGCAGAATCGGTATAAGTCGAAGAAGAAGAAGAAGAAGAAGCAGAAGAAGCAGAAGAAGAAGCAGCAGCAGAAGAAGAAGAAGAAGAAGAACGCCACTGGCTGTAATCATCATCGCTGTCCTCTTCCTCCTCTTCGCCATCGCTGCCACCTTCTTCTGCAACTTGACCACCACCCTCCTCCTCCTCCTCCTGGTGCTGCTTCCAAAGAGGACACTCCTGGTCTTCTGAATTTGCCACATTGATGGGCGATTCCGAAAGACAGTAGAGCAATGACAAGATGCTATGATTGATATCTGGATAGATGCAACGAATCTGCAAATCGAGGAACCTCTTCACCAGTGCTTTGATCTTGGCAGCCCTTGCCAGCTGGCTGTTTATCTCCAACCTGTGCTGCAAAGCTTGATACAACTTCTCAATGTTTGGGGGATTGGCATCGAGAAAATTGTGATGACGCACATTTCCCAGACAGTAGTTCATAGCAATCTTGAAGTTCTCTGATTTGGTCTCCACATCAACGATCCGAACGACTAGTTTGCTGAACAGCTCCCTTATGGTGTCCCGGCCTTTCACTGCTGCTGGGGGAAATGCGGTCGCCATCGCTGCCATGCATACTCCTCTTGTTCCACCACGACCGGACGTAAAATACCATATAACGAAAACCTTGGAACAAAGATGGAAAAAAAAAAAAAAAACAGAAAACTCTCTTGCCGTTGTGACGACCAACTCCACCTGTTCACCGACCACACCCACACATGCTCTTCCAGCTTCCAAGTAAGAATCAGACAGCAAATGGTGATGTTTTTTTTTTTCGGTTTTTTTTGTTTTTTTCCGTCTGCCCCACTACTACAGTGAAGTAATATGGATACAAGCCGCTGATGGGATTCCACAAAGTGGGAAAAAAAAAAAAAAAAAAAAAAAAAAAAAAAAAAAACACTTCTTCGTCCGTCTATTCCTCCTCCTCCCCGGCGACGACTCTCCTTCTTCTTCTTCCTACTAGTGCTTCTCCTCCGGCTGTCCGTCCTCTGAAAACAGGTTCACATTTCGTCTCCTCCCCCCTCCACCTCCTCAGTTCCTCCTCCCCTCCTCAATGTTTCGACAGCCCCACACAGTGCATAAAGCGACGAAGCACACAGCTCTTTACTCCTCCTCCCCGGCGATGGCTTTCTCCTTCTTCTTCCTCTTCTTGTAATGAACTTTCGATGCGTGTACGACAGGCAGTCGGCCACTGTTTTCCACTCTTCTTCTTCTTCGTCTTCTTCTTCTTCTTCTTCTTGTCTTCCTTCTGTCTGTCTGTCTGTCTGTCCTTCAAACACAGTGCACATTTCTTCTCCTTCTCCTTCTTCTTATCCTTCTTCTTCTTCTCCTTCTTCTTCTTATCCTTCTTTCTTCTTATCCTTCTCTTCCTGCTGTCTTCTCCTTCTTCCTCCTCTCGGCTGGAACAAGCTCTCTCTCATAACCGCTGCCACGACCTGATGGAAAAAAAGAGCCCTGTCACACGGCATCCATAAAAGCGCTGTCAGCTGGTGTCCGTAAGCGCTGCCACGTGGCATGCAGGGAAAGCCCTATCAGAAGAAGTGTTGTGAGTATGCCCTGAGACTTTCCAATCAATCATTTTCTCCTTCCTTTTCCCCTCATTGAAACATTTGCCTGCATTCTGGAATTGTTCTGCAACATAGATGACACTATCGACGCCGACGACTACCGTCTTCACCCAAATAGAACGCCCGATCATTATCACTGCATCTAGACTTAAATTTCGACCAAATACAGCTATAATGACCGGGCGTTCTTATTCGGGTGAAGACGGTAGTCAACAACAAAGACTACGAGTAGCAGTGTGTAGAGTCCTTTGGGACATCTGGTACCACTCGCACAGTGGCGCGCAATACACAAGCTTGAAGCACTCATGCTTCATTCGCTCCAGCCGCAACGACATGGTCTACAGTTCTGCGACGGTACAGTCATTGCCATAGCCATCCCTGTCTCGCCATAGCCGTCATCCCTGTCTCGCCATAGCCATCCCTGTCTCGCCATAGCCGCCATCCCTGTCTCTCCATAGCCGCCATCGCTGTCTCGCCATAGCCATCCCTGTCTTGCCAGTTCCTAGTGTAAATCCTCCTCCCCCCCACCTCTCATAGGGTATAAATCCTCCTCCGGGCGAGTCCCCGCAGTCGGATTCATAGGGCAGTTAGTGATCGCTGTAGGTAGCAGGAGAGGACTACCGTCTTCCCGCGAACACAACGCACGCTCATTTTGGCTGCACCGGACCGGAAAGATAGCTTGTGTACATTCGGAATCAGGATGCGTTGTGTTCGGGGGAAGAAGGTAGGCAGATGTGTGTGTGTTCAATAAGGAGGGGGTGGCACACTAAAGCGATTTACTACAGTAAAAACCTTCACAGCGGACAATAGGAGAAGGCGAGACAATGTAGAATGATAAGGCCAATCAATCAATCATCGCATAAATTCCAGATACCTTCATCGGAGACACCTTCATTCCGACAGCAGAGTTCTGGATCGCATCAGCCATCGCAGTTTCGCCAGAATTCCAAGATATGATATGAATCCTTCCTTCCTTCCTTCCTGGTGCCTGGTGCAGTAGAAACTAGAGGTTCTTCCATGCCCAATGAATGGGAAGAGAGAGCAGTGAGAGGGTGACTGATGCAAAGGAGCTGAAGATGGGTGGCACAATGAATGAATGGGCAGGATCTAACCGACCTTCAGATCCGACGGTCAATAAAGGTGACTACAAAGCAAAGGAGAGTGCTGCTTCTTTGTTTTGTTTTGTTTTGTTTTGTTTTGTTTTGTCCGGATATCAAGTGGTGATTACGGGATCGTCTCCCACTCAAGTGTGTGTGTGTGTGTGTGTGTGTGTGTGTGTGTGTGTGCTGTCTCTTATACACATCTAGATGTGTATAAGAGACAGCTCTTCCAGCAGCGTACCGCCCAAGAAGTGAGCTACTCGAACTGTGTCTCTGCCCTGGCCTGGCCCAGCTATACGTAGCGCAGGGCCTCGCGGGTGTGCCTCCATGTGCTTTTGGTACTACGCCTAAATCGGCCTGCCTGGGTCCCTACCGGACGTCCAGGCCCTCCCTGCTGATGCAGCAGGGAGTGTCCGCTATCGGACAAAAGTGGACCTGGCCCAACAGGCCCTGCCTACGTCCGTTCCAGGCCAATGGCCTTGTCCGAAGAGACCCAAGGTCTGTCAGACGAACTGAACTGAAGTCCGAAACGATGCCTGAACAGGCAATAAAAGGAGAGCAAATAAATACATAAATAAATGCTGCCAAAATTGAAGATTGCGGCCCTAAGGCCGGCCGTGGGCCTCCAGCGCGCCCATCCGTCGGGCGTGTGGCCTGGGGGCCCCCAGCAACCGTCGGGCCCCCAAAATGGGGCCCGTATGCAGGCTCAGCATGTAACTCTCTCTCTCTCTCTCTCTCTCTCTCTCTCTCTC